AGATATCAGTATTGGAGTCTATTTTGCTTATACTTTAAGCAATTATACTTTTTGCAATTCACTGATGATGTACCACTTTCAAACTGCTTTAAATATCCTTCAGAAATGCATATTTGAAACTTTTACTTAATAGTAATTACCTTGAACTGTGCATTTCTAGTTTGTAATACACATTTAGTTAGTTTGTGCCTTTAGTTTCTTAAAGTTCTATTTGTATTATATTCAGGAAATGCACTTTTTATCACTTATGGCTGTGGTTTTAATACTTCCTTGAACTCTTACTGTTCTCTTTACGACTCTTAAAGTTTTGGGGGAACAAAGAAAAATAAACCAAAACATTAACACCAATGAGTAGTCAATCTAAGAGAAACATTTTGTCATTTCTTAATATGAACATGGAGATATAAATTACATCGCTTCCTATTTGAATAGAAATAACACCTTCATTGGCTTGTTGCTCTGAAGTTTAAATTAGTGCAAAAGCAATTCATTTGCATTTCCTGATGAAAATCAGTTTTAAAAAACATACATGAATTTCTCATACCCAGAAGACAGGTGACTGACACCCCACAGCCATTCAAGTAATTTAATGTGGGAGCATAGCACTTGGATTCGCCTATGAAGGAGCACTCTGGGATGGAGGCAGGGAATACTCCATGGTTGTTTTCCTGGTTGGACTCATTTTATTTGTACTAGTTTGTTTTGTTTTGTTTTACTCTTGCACTGCAATCTAGAGATCCAAATGAGCTGAAAATTCAAAGTCTAATGGACATTTAAATATGCCTCATTGTAGTTCTCATTCTAATCATTATTGATTAGAAGTATAACTGCAGAAGGCAAGGAAATAAAGCTCAAAATAATACTTTCAACAAAACACCACAGAAGTAAAATATATGTTCTATTTTTAACCCCCAAAATTGTGTGTAAAATAAAAGTGTGTTCTTTATCAATTTATGTAGAAGATCTATAATATATAGACTACACACATATAATATAACCAAATATATGAGCACTTGACAAAGTATAATTTATAATTTTCTTGCTACCTACAGAGAGGTATAAAATTAAGTTCTACTTTTCATGAAGTTTTTCTTCTTCATTACTATTGAGAGTTTCAGGCATTACATCACGTTATTTCTTCCCTTTTTCTTTTCTCTGTAAAAATGATATTTTAACGAGACCAGGCCCCATCATAATATCACCTGTACACAGTCATGGCAAAGTTTTTGCATTTACAAAGATATGTTCATGGAAGGGCAATTGTAATAGCATTTGGTAGAAATGAAAACCAAAATACAGCAGTCAAGTATTGAACTAAAGCTTTAGAGAGATAGAAGTTTATGATAACTTGTGGAAAATGTTACAGATTATACACAACATTCTTTTCTTGGAGGAACTCACATACACATAGGTGACCTGACTAGTACTTCAGATCTCACACTGCTCTTCCACAGCCTTCTGTAAGGTTCTTTACTCTGCAAAAAAAAAACAAAAACAAAAAAAATACAAAAAAAAATACAAAAAATAAAAAAGCAAAGAAAACAAAAAAATAGAAAACAACAACAACAAAAAGAATTCAACCACAAAATAGTGACTATTATTTCAGTGTGTCCTTTATGTGAAAGCTATTAAGGACCAAATATATTACTGTGTGTAAGAAATTACTTCCTAAACAGTAACTGAAAAATACTTAGAGTTAAACTTGCTGTGGATTTTGTCTTGGCAGTTGTCATCTTACATTATTTGTCAAAGGAAATGTGTTTGGCAGTTAAAAATCTTTCTTTAGATTTAGTGGTGGACTTTAACCTCTTAAATAAATGTTAGTCTATCAGAGTGTGTCCTTGAAAAATATTTTACTTGTATGGATCATGACAATGTCTAAATCTTTACTATTCGGACGAAAGTATCAGTATGAGAGAAGGCCAAAAAAAAAGAAAAAGAGAGAGAGAGAGAGGGAGGGAGAGAGAAGCATAGCCTTTATGTCAGAAAAACATTTTTAGCTGCTTACTTTCTCATGAAAAGTAAAGATGTTTACAGTGTATGCCAAGATTTTCAGTTTCTATATAACAACAGTTAGAGGTTCGAATCATACTGATATTGTGTTCTAATGGCCTGAGCCATGTTGCTAGGGAAACAATAGGTTCCAATTCTGTATTCCTGCTCTCACTCCTGTGCTGAAAAGTGACTGGATACTGTACAGGTTCATGTTCTCTGGCTGCAGTTAAATGGTCTTTTGCATTTTGCTCTGGCTTTCAGGCCAGAAGCATGCATTTTTCTACAAGAGCATCACAACAACATGCTGTAAATATTTAAAGTCAAACATTATGTGTCGATATTTGAAAGAAAAGTACTTTGAATATTTCATTTTTAAAAAATAAAATTGCAAATGAAAACTGTGTCCCATTTTATTCCTGCGCCAAACGGTATTCTCCGGTCAGCCTGGCCACCTGAGATAGGGGGAGGGGATCCCTAACTGCGAACAATGAAACCACATCATTTAAAAAATATACCTGCACAAATCAAAGCAGCACTTATCCTAGGCAGCCATCTCTTCCTTTTGATGTTTCATACAAATATGATCTCTGACACAAATGACCACCTCATAACCAGAGACAGTAGCTGCTGCAAATGTAAATGCCGCTTGGCTGAGACTTTTGAAAAGGTTCCGCTCTCCTGCTGATGCCTTCTCAGCAGTAGAAAAGAAATTTGAAAAATCTCCAAATAGGGATGAAAGAAAGCTAGGAGACCAGGGCACCCAAATACATGCGCAAAACCACAGGACGGTGGGGCGTGGGGAGGGACAGCACTGAAAGAGGAATTCAAAACAACAGGTATTGGCAAAACTCTGCATTTGCAGCAATTACAGTCATCATTTGGCTGTTGTTTTTCACAAGACGACAAATACAAGTGATGCTAGGAAAACTGTAAAAATTCAACCTGATACTAGTTTGGACACAGGATAGTCCAAATAGCCACTTAACTGAAATTTGCTTGGAATGCTTGACTTTGTAAGTCACTTCAACAGTGCCCTGCTGCTTCTTCATTCACTGATATTGGACTATCCAGATACAGTGAGGCGAGTCATGGGACAAACAACCCCGATTGTCTCAATATAGCACATCATCCCAAACCAGCAGGGTGTGTGCAGGCTAAGACTAGGGCTGTTAGTAACACCTGAGAATTTTTTGTTTTTTCAAAATATCCCACTCACTCTACCTTCAGTATCTTTTTTAAAAGAGAGCAACAGATCCTACATTGAATCATTAAAAGTAATAAGACTATTCACCCTCAACTTTAAGCTTTCTCAATGTTATTAAACATTTATCAATGCACCTCAGTACCTCAACCCCTTTAAAGTTTTATAATTGCAATTCTGTAATAATCCTGTGAGGATGCGTTATCCCCATTTGGCATGTGCAATAGCAGTAAGAGGATGACATATTTAAGGTCACATATATGTGTGAAAAACCCAAAAAGCAAATTCAGGTCCCATGCATTCTTGCTTTTCCTCTTTGTCAAGTATTGAATATAGTATTACCTTTTGTTATTTTTCCTTAAGATTTTTTATTGGTAAGTTAGATTCACAGAGAGAAAGACAGAAAGATCTCCCATCCACTGGTTCACTCCCTAAGTGGCCACATAGCTGGAGCTGAGCTGATCCAAAACCAAGAGCCAGGAGATTCTTCCAGGTCTCCCACATGGGTGCAGGGTCCCAAGGCTTTGGGCCATCCTCAACCATTTTCCCAGGCCACAAGCAGGGAGCTGGGGTGGTGGGGAGAAGAGCAGCTGGGATATGAACCAGCGCTCATATGGAATCACAGTGCGTGCAAGGTGAGGATTTTAGCCACTAGGCCCCCAGGCCTGATCCTACCTTTTGTTATCTTGTGAGAGGACAGTTCAATTTCTGTGTATCCATATACACAATCCAGACATATGGTGATAAACTTTATCCTGTTGATCATGCTTGTTGCATCTTTCTACATAAAAAAAAAAAGGAAATCTTCATTTACAAACCTAATGGGTAATACTTCAGGCTTTTATTATGAGGTCAGCCAATACTTCAAATTATGAAAGTGTCCAAATTTACACTTCACTCCTAGCCATGTACTGTAAGGTACTGGTAATCCATTTATGACAAGGTGGCAAAGTTGAATTTACAGCAATTATAGCATCCTTACAAGAAGCCTAGGCATCCTGTAACCTTGAAGTACTGAGGTACAAATCTGAATTTTATTGTTAATAGACTTTGGCTTTGAGCTCAATAAAGTGAATCAAACAAAACATATGCTGATGTTGAAACATCCTTAACAGATTTTAAAGCTATTTCTCACATTTTAGTATTCTACACATTCTACCAATGAATATCTTAAATTCAGCCTTTTATTTACACCAGAGGACTTAATCAAAGGCATTCTCTGGAGACTGATTCTATGCACTACCATAAAGGTCCCCTGCCTGTAACAGGCAAACAGACAATTACCTAAGCTTGTCCCCACTGACCTTATCTCTTAAGAGCAAATTTCAGAGGGAATGAACAAGTATTTGATAAGCTGTCATATTCCTTGTGGGCCTGCTGACATACTTTTTTTTTTCTTTCCAAAGAGAGATGTAAGCTTGGAAATATATGCGCTTTTTTTTCTACCTTGACTCAGCATCTTACAGATATACATTAACATGGCACTATTTTAGATATGGCACGGATATGACCTTTCTGCAAAGGTGCAAGTTATTATGTACTGGGAAATAGCAAGATGTGCATGTTGGGAGAGAGAGAAAGTAGAAAAAAAAAAAAAGAAGTGATGAATAAAAGGCTGACCAAAGAAAACGGACAGGGTGGGTTCATCAACTGGCAAATTTGACAATAGCCGAATCTGAAAAGCACTTACCTTTCTAGGGAATTTATTCAATAAGATCAGTAAGATGACCTTCATCAATGCTTTGTTTATTAATAGCCTGTCTCCATGTTTTCAAAAGCAGCATTTTAAGACAAATTGGGTAAGTAAAGCTTTCAAACAATTTATTACAATGTGAAAGATCATTAATAAATCCAGATCGTTTTTCCAAAAAGCATTCTCATGAAGGAACATGCATGCATGATTCATGGGTTGAGAATTAATCCAGACAGACACATTCAAGAGAGTGAAAATCACACACTTTATAATTTAAACTCAAGTTTCAAATAACTTAAGAAATATGAAACATATGCAATTTGTCTTAAAAACAGGCTTTCTAGAATCCTTTACAAGTTAAAGTGATGCTCTTAACTTCAGGAAATAGGAAACCACACCCAATACCTTGTTGTGACTGCCCTCTGCTTTTGCTCCCACAACATCCATGTTCAATGCTCAGAAATCAGATCTTGATGCAGCATCAGGAGTAATTCTGTCTCCCAGCAGTTCATCATTAGTAATCAAGCTCACCAACACTCTTGTGTAATCTGGAATCCCAATTTATTAGTTCACAACAAAATGAACCTTTTCTTGTCGACCACAAACCAGTGGGTATCGATTCATTCTGCCTCTAAAGACAGATCTACCTACACATGGGGAAACCTCAATTACCATGTACCCATCAACCTTTAATATTATTGTTTTCTTGTGCAACTAGACAATGAACCATCTGAGGTTAGGGATCGTGTGCTTTTACCTCTCCAATCCCCAATATCCTCTTAGGTTTGTTGGGTAAATCAACCGTTTGAGCCTTGAAGCAACCTGACATAAAATCCATCACACAACTCATGAAAGTACAAATGTAAATAAGAATGCTACATAAAATTCTGATTCTCACTTAGGTTTCAATAGCCTGGAATTGTTAACAAGTTCATGCAATCATAAGCTTGCTTCCAAATCATTTCCTGAAGACCGGCAGCTCCTGACAATTCCCTTTCAATGAGGTTTTACACAAAGTGGACACAAATGGCGCAGGGGCGAATGAAAACACAAAACATACTTCATCAGACTTGCAATTTCAGATCCTGTTGCATCAAATACAGTCAATATTCAGAGCATATTTTTTAACTGTGGGATTTTAAACTCTAGATTAGTTTGCAGATTACTGTCCAACATGAGAATACTAGGCAAGAATCTGGCTTTCAGAATGAAACAAATGCTATACCCTTAATCTAGTTCTTGTTTTAGCACACAGTACACAGCTTCATGGATCCCCAAAGAGCCTATGATGCCACAGCTAGTGAAGAACTACACATGATAAAGGTGAAGGTTACCAACCAACATCCCTCTAATACAATCAAGCAAAATAATTTGAAATCAGTTAAATCTCAAATAATATTTCACTAACAATGGTGCTTTGGACAAAATCTGAGGATTATTTTTATTCATATTTGGCAAGAATTGATGTCAGTGTTTTATAAAGCATTCATTGTGCTTTAAATTGTTTCCCATTTGGAAATACAATAACTGAATATAACCTCGGGAATTATTTTTCTCCCCATCCTCATTTCAAAGCTCTTCATTATCTACAAAGCCCATCTCAGCTTTAATATTAGGCTCCATGCTTCCACTAGAGGACTATGACAGTTTTAGAAATGCATTTATAGCCCACTACAAGACTTCACATATATTTAAATTACTGAAAATAAAGAACAAGGTGTTTTCTTTTTCTTCATGGTGCTTTCAGGCATACATCAGGATCTTCTCTTCTTCCTAAATAAATAAATAACAAAAGTTAAGAAAAAGATAAACTTGCAAAGTATTCACACAATAAGCTAATACAAACTTATAACCAAATTTCCCTGTCTAAAGAAGGATGGAATATTGTCCAGAAAAGAACAAGAAGCCAACTTGTAAATTAGAATCCTATTTCTATTTCCATTATTAAGGCTAAGCATTAATTAATCACTTGAGTTTAACAGTTGATACTTGAATCCCTGCTCAAAAAAAAAAAGATATAACAATTCATTTTATCATAAATATTTATGGCTTCAATCAATGCATATCCTCTTTTTCCAAACAATTTGCCCCTTTCCATAATGGAATACATTTACATTTCAGATTGTTGCAGACACTGGCAGGTACACAGTCATTTTAGCCTGACACATAAGTCAGGATAGCTTTGCTCAGGAATTATAACAATTTGTGCCAGTGGAATAATAAAGGCCACTAATGAAATTTTCTTTATCACAATAAAATTTCATTAATCCAAGGAGCACCATTTCAGACACCACAATCAAACAGACCAAGTAACATTAGCCTTTATATCCCTGAAGCGGGAGGTGGGATCAGGAAATGGTTTACAAGGCAAAGGTAAAGAACTGTCCCACCTTTCAAATTGATTTTGTGTCTGAATTAGTGGAGTGAAATAAGACTGGCATACCTACAAAAAGAAGCTAAGGAGAACAGAATGAAACAATAGGGATTAAAATGTGTGGGCTCCTGGAGTCATTGGCATTTTTGCACAGCTGTATTTAAAGTTTATGGTATAGCATGCTGAAAAGTTTATTTAAAGTTTATGATATAGCATGATGTAGCACATAGCCACATCTCATGCGATCTTCCAGGCACATCAACTTTCTCATTGCATCTTTCTTGCAGAACTGCTAACAGTTCACCTATTATAAATAGGTGAATTCATAACCTTGAGCTTCCAAACTCTGCCAAAGAATAATGGAAGCCAGCTCTGCAGTACCTTGTGTACTTCTAGCCGAGGACTTCTTCTCAACTGGATATTGCAGTGGTATTACAATGCCTTGATCTGGCTTCTGAAATGCTGAAATAAGATTTTTTATTTTCCGGAAAAATCTTTTATGTACCCCAGGTGCTGTCTGAAAAATAAAAGACCAAGCCAATTATTTATCTACCTCCATATAGATATGAAAAGGCCTATCATATTTGCAAGGGGGTAGAGGGCATAAAAAGGTACCATTTATGTCACTTGTTCAAATATTTGAAAACATAAGAAAGAAGGAAAAACAACATTCCAGAAGAGTTTGCTTTGGTTGGCTGAACTTCCCTGCAAGAGGAGTTAATGAGCTGTCATTTAAGCTCTCCCGAGGGTGGTATTAGTTTGCACAAGCTCTTGCTCATCACCCAGCTCTTCCTGCCTGCTACCCATCATACATTCCAAACCTCTAAGGGTATACAGGCCATTACCCACAATGAATTCACCAATGGAAGGAATGCAGTGAAACACAGAAAAAAACACAAATACTATAGTTCATTAATAAGAGAAAAAAAAAAAAAACCTCTAAGGAACCACCTCTTACCAAAACAAAAACAAACCTATAGCCCATTCTCCCTGGTATCACTGCACAATATAAAATACTATGCAGGAAATTAAAACCGTGTGTAATCAGTTAGTCCTCTTACTCTTTAATATCACAATATGCCTTGCTTTATCCTTTTCACAAAATTGTTTCATCCTTGGGAAACATCCTTATCCTCCCCAAAATGGCTCTCTCCATCAGCACAGCACTGACAGTTGCTTTTGCCATGACATGAGAATAGAAGACTTTAGAAGGTCACATTTATTTGTTTGTTTCTCTTAGAAGAGTATTTGTAGGCAACTATTAAAATGTGTTCCTTCCCTGACATCAGAGCTCTTGCAAAGACAGTGCCTGAAATCAACAACTATTTCCTGTAAATCTTATAAACCAAGGCATTAGCTCCAAACTGTCATTTCACAGGAAACAAAATATCATTGCTATGAGCAATTCAACAATGGCTAGTTTTTATTTTGTTTTGTTTTTTGACAAAGATGTTTTTCAACTTTTCCATCTGGAAGATTTTTGAGGAGGAAGCTGTTTATTATTTTATATCTAATGAGAAACCATGAAGGTCAGGATGCAAACTTCTGTCAGCCAGTAATTATTGGAGATGGCAAACTCTCCATAACAACTCTTGATCTTGTCTAACACTGGGTTAATTATTCTGTGCAAAACTTTCGAAGTTCTTTTTAGCCCTGATACATTGTCTATATGCTCATAGTCGATGTGTAACACTCTCCCACCAGACTCCTCAGTGATCGAAACCCCAGCCTAAAATGCCATTGAGACTTCATCCAAAACAACATAGCCATTCTTTCAGAGGCAAAAACAATTCATTGCTTTCAAGATAGAATTTCCAGATTGCAAATGTAGTCCAATGTATTGCAACTTCCTTAAAGCACTTTTAGTTTCCAGCCTCTATTTCCTTACAAACTGGCAGACACTGGCTGATTCAATTATTCCCAGTTGACAGATGAGGAAATGTAAATACAAAGAAGTTAATCAGCTTTCCCAAGGTCATGCAGACAAAGATAGGCAGAACTGAGATCTCAAAACCCAGACTCTTGCCTTTCAGATTAACACTGAGCTAACAGTGAAGCTAAAGTCACAGACAAGAGAACCCAGTATGGAAATATGGCACACCACGCATCTTTTGACTGCCCTTGTAGCTTGTAAAAATCTTTTATCAAGAGAAGAATCATTTTTATGGGTACTGATGTGCAGTTAAGTCTTGATAACCCACACTAACAGAGGAACAATAGCTCTAGCTCTATAGAAATAATTCGAATTTGGCATACAAACTATCACTGGCAGATGACTGACTAAACTTACTTGGGGTATTAAGTAAAATTACTTAGAACAATCAAATACCAAAAAGAGAAAAAACAACAACAACCAAAAGAAAAACAAAAAAATTGTTGTCAGTTGAATCAATAAGGAGCAGCTGGTGCCTTTAATATACAATGTAAAACCAATGCACACATTAAAAAAGATTGTTAACATAGTTCTTTTATAATTTAGTAAAAATTTTAACTCAAGCCATACAAGGTAAGTTAATGCACTAGGCAATAATCTAACCAAAAAGTCTATCCGAAACTAAAAGTATACAAAGTGTGTGCCCTTCATCAATGAATCCAATATTGAATTTCAACACAAAGCTCAGCATTCCTGGATGTTCAGCATAAGCTGCTGTCGTGATTTCTCTTTGCAGTGTGACAATCTCTAAAGTTCTTCCAAAACCCTAGTAAAATTATCTATCACTTATCCAATGTTGAAAATGTGTTTATTCCAAGAACGATACCACTGACAGCTATGGTCCTGTCCCTGAACTTTGCTGTTGTTCAAGTTTGCACATTTCTCACACTGACTCCTCCTAGTTATCCTTGGTAACAAGTTTTAGATCACAGCTGGTTATCAATATGCTCTAGAGAAATCTCGTCTGGTCAGGTGGTATGAGCTCTGAAAATACACATTAGTTTAACATTCATTTTAGCAAAACTTAAGACAACCCATGTGGTAGGAAAATAAAATGTGATATGCGTTTTCTACAATTAAAAACATTTTAAACTGTCCTCTCTTTGGGAACAATCCATGCCAATCTGCTGCTCTCTTGGTGCAGTTGATAACAGTATTATTGTATAAATAAGATTACATTGGACAAGGGCATGAGGGGGCATTTATGTGCAATAAGCTCTCTCCTCTGTAACAGAATCACAAGCATGCAACCAAATCATATTAAAGTCCTAAAAATTATTTCCAGAAAGACTACTCTGGCAGCTGAAGGATACTTCTCTAGGGAAAAGGCTTATTTATGATCAAATCATATAAAATGTGTGTTTGTGTGTTACACAAAACTTTTCCTCATAACTTTAATTTCATAATCATCTCTGCATTGAAAAAGAACTTTAAAAGGTACATTTGAATTTGAAAAAGCATTGCTCCTTTAATGTTTCATATTAGTTATCCTGAAATAAAGCAATGTGTTTAAAAACTTGCCTTAATTCAAAATGTTTATAGTCTGTCATCATGCATTCCAATTTATTGATGAAGACCTACATATTATTCTGAATTTTTTTTTAGGTCTAGATGTTAGAGTTTCTTAAATGTGTAGAGTGATTGAGTTATGAATAGAGGTTGAAACTAGCACTTGTGTTCAAAAGCTTATAAGAAAGTAATGCTATATAAAGAAAAACTGTTATAAATATGCAAAAATCAGAGAAAGCATATGTTTCAAACCTCCAGTTGGAGAAGCCTCTATGAGCCCTAGAATGTGATATGCTGTACTATCAAGGTCCACGGAAATGGATTAACTCGAGACAGTCCTTGAAATATCCCAATAGCTTTCAAATGTTTTCAAAGCCATAAGAACATCCCCTCCCCCCACCCTCCGCCAATGAAATCTTATTCAGACCTTCCAATTTACAAGCAGAACTAAAACAGAACTGAGACAGAAACTAAGGCAGATAGGAAAAACCACACCCACTTATCTACTTCTCCCCCGGCAGGCCCCAATGTAGTCTCAAACCCTTCAAGTAGGAGAACAGTAGGCTTCTATACAGTCCAGCTCTCTAGTCCCCTTATCTGAGCACCGAATATCATCAGTTACCCTAATGTTTGGAAAAACAGTCCCTTTTTTTGACCTGCATCAACTAACTCAGAACTTGATACCAATTAAGTCACATTGTTGAGGACTCATTCTGTACCAGGCCATATGGCTAAGAGCTTTGTGAGTGGCATCATCTCATTTCTTTCTAAACATGAGCCCTGTGAGTAAGCAATGAGCCATAGGTTCAAATTACAGACAAAGGCACTACTTCCCCCAAGTATTTGTCCAAAGCCATAGGGAAGATCAAGGACAAAGACGGAGCATCCCAAAACTCACACCAACCTGACAACAAAGTACATGTTCTTCCACTTACTGACTGACTAGTTAATGAACTAGTCAATGAACAAGCGCTGATTTGATTATTTACCTATTTCTGATACGCTTTCTAGAGTTTCACATAGGCACTTAAAGTTTGACACTCTCCTTTAGCATTTTGAGCTTTCCACCAAAGCCACTTTACACAATGCAGTGATGCCTGCATAGGACTGGGGCCCAGATTCTCGAAAGCTTCCTAATGATCCACGAATAAGTTTCAATTGGATACTTAATGGTCTAAATATGAGTAACGCTTTGGTAACATATGACTATTTTTATAAAACCAACCTAAGATTCAAACACCTCCCTGATACCCACAGAAGCAAAAATAAAGAAAAGAACTATACCTCGGCACTCCAAGAACCTGTTTCTGTCTGGGCCACACGGTATGTATAAATGTAACCTTGATACCTGTGGAAAAATAGATTTTCATTACTAAAAAAATTCCAAAAGAATAACGGAAGTTCTGAATTTCAGCTTACTATTATCCATAACTGCTACATATAAGTAAGACTGTATACATACATAGCACCACTGCTTTCATAGGAAGTAAAAATCCATTAAGTCTAACTGGTTTGCATATTATACCTGACCACAATCTCTGATAAGCCTTCTTTATCTTTGCATTTTCTTTAATGTCGGAACCCATAGCCTTAAGGATCTGTAGAGAGAATCATTTAGACAGAAATAAACTGGAGACTTGTTGAAATTGATTAAAAAAAAAAAAACCCTGAATTGCTAAACAGTTTTTACAGAGTGTAAAACAGAGTTTTCAAGTAAAACTTTTCACTGGTATAAGGTACTATCGGGTCCCATACATTAATATTATTTTAAAGTAATGTTAGCATTGCAAAACTATTGTAAGAATGTCCATATCATCCTACCACTATAGTATGCAGTTATGTATACTCCATAATGTAATACAGTAGGAATAGTCATTTAAATTAAAAAGGAGTGCTGCCAAAGCACTTGAAAGCAGCTTCTCATCCTTTTAACTGGGGTAAACACTAGCTCTCATTACTCAGTTTGCATGCATACTGCATATCTATATAATTGATTTCTACTACATGCCAGGAGCTTTGCATGCTCAGTTAGTCTGCTCAGCTGCCATAACAAAATATCACAGACCGCGTGGCTCAAACAACAAAAATATATTTGCTCACAGTACTGGGGTGGCAGGAAAACTGGCTTCAGCTTTTCCTCGCAGCATGCGTGAGACATTTCCCTCTCCCCTGCCACTTGTGTCTCTCTCACGTGTGCACTTGTGCCTTTTTTTCTTAAAAGGCCACCAATCCTATCTGATCAGTGTCCCACCTTTGTGATTTCATTTAACCTAATTTACCACCAAAAGATCTCATCTCCAACTAACAGTCACACTGGGGATAGGAGTTTTAAAATATTTTATAAGGACACAATACTGCCGCTAACATACTGCCCCCAGCCTGCCAAAATATCCATGTTCTTCTCATATGTCAAACACATTCATTCCACCTCAACAGCCCCCAAAAGATTTAATTTATTCTGGCATTAACCCCCAAATTAGAAGCACCCAGTCTCACTTAACTATGATTTAATCAAAGATGATAGGCCTAGGGCTTGAGGTATCACTTACCTTGAAACAAAAATGACAGGACAGTCCTAAAACAGACCTCCTCTTTCCAAAAAGGAGAAATGAATAGGAATTAAGATGTGACAGATCCCAAGCAAGCCCCAAAACCAACAAGGTGAATCTTCTTAGCTCTTCAGGCTTCAGAATACGCTTTGACTCAATGTTCTGCCTTCTAGGACAACTGGGTGGGAACGCTACGTCTATAACTCTGCAAGACAGTCCTGCCACTGTGGCAGATGGATGGTCAAACTCATGCAGCGCTGTTGGATGTTAGTCCCACCATTTGCCTCTGTAGAAGCAGGTTTGTCACCTGGGCCTAAGCACTCTGGGTTTGTGCTGGGGGTAGCAGCCATCCTTACGATTTGTAAATTGACTTGGGACCATTCTTGGAGGATGAGGCATGTTTGCAACAAGATCTCTGTATCAAATTCATTTTCTTTGGTTCAACCTGAAAATACCTTGAGTTATTGGTTGAAACTCTATTCTTTAAAAATATAGCATTTCTTTTTATTTGAAAGGCATATTTTTATGGAGAGAGAAGGAGAGAACAGAGGAAGAGGTCTTAGAGCTGCTGATTCACTCCACAAATGCCTGCATCTGTCAGAGCTAAGCCAACCCAAAGCTGGGAGCCAAGGGAATCCTTCAGGTCTCCCATGTGGGTGCATGGTCCCAAGGTTTGGACCATCCTCCACTGCTTTCCAAGGCAACAGAGAGCTGGATGGGAAAGTGGAACAGCTGAGACACAAATGGGCACCCCATAGGATGTTGGAGCTTGCATGTAAAGAATTAGCCTGATATGCCACCACACCAGCCCCCAAAATTCGATTCCGAACATCTGCTGAGGTGACTGGTTGATACCATGGGTAATATTCTCGAGATGATAGAGTTGATAATACCACATACACTTAGTATTCTTTCTAGAACAAGTTTTCTGTTTTGCGCAATATGATCAGGTTGAGAATTTCATAAATCTTTTAGCTCTGGTTCTTTTTTGCTTACCAATTCGTTCTTTAAATCATGTACCTCCTTTCATGTTTTACTACAAACATTCAGGAGGAACCAAGTGATTCCTTTGACATTTTGCTTAGAAATTTCTTCATTTGGGTCCAACAGGGTAGCACAGCAAGTTAAGCTGCCACCTATGATACTAGCCTTTCATATGAATAACAATTCAAGTCCAGGCTGCTACACTTCTGATCCAGCTATCCATTAATGCACCTGGGAAAGCAGTAGAAAATGGCCCAAGTACTTGGGCCCCTATCGCCAGATGGAATTCCAGACTCTAGGCTTCAGCCTGCCCAATCCTTTCCACTGCAGCTCTGTGGGGAGTGAGCCAGTAGAAGGAAAAATCGCCTCCTAATTTTCCCATTGGAACAAGTAAGTAAATCTTGAAAAAAAAGAAAATCTCTTCATTTAAATATCCAGGCTCATTGTTTACAAATCTCTCGCAAAATACAGTGCAGACAAGTTCTTTGCAGACAAGTTTTTTGCCACTTTATAACAAGAATCGCCTTTCTTCCAGTTTCCAATAAAAGATCCTCATTTCCATAGATCTTACCAGAACGAACTTCAGCATCCACAGTTCTACCAACATTTTGTTCAAAGCAAACTAGGCTTTCTAGTAGTATGCACTGCAAAACTCTTTCAGCGAAGCCATTATCAAGTGCCAAAGCTGTTTCCACATTTTGAGGTGTTTATCAACGTACCCTACTTCTTAGTACCAAAATGAGATTACTCAGTCACAACAAAGTACCATAGACCAGGTGGCTTTGACAACAGACACATGTTTCTCACAGTTTTAGAATCTGAGAAGCCCAAGGTTAAGTTGGGAGATAGAGTTCTAACTCTGCCGAGATAGAGTTCCTTCAGAGGTCTCTTCCCCGGACTTGAAGGCAGTCACTTCCGGGCTCCAGGCTCACATAACCTTTGCGTCACACATGTGAGCTTTTTCTTCTCAAACAGTCACCAATCCTGTCAGATTACATCCACTTATGAGGTCACTTCATCTCAACTATCTCCTCCAAGTTTTATTCCCAAACACACACAGAATAAAGGTTTAAGCTTACGAATTTTGAGGAGTGAACCAAATTCATTCCCCAACACATAAGTTGTCTCCTTCCGAGCCCACAAAAATCCCAAGAGCTTTATGCTGTGAAATTCATTCTATACATGAAGGACCTTAGATTTTAGAAGTTCAACAGGGTTGGCACTGTAGCACAGCAAGCAAAGATGAAACCTGCAATAGCAGTATCCCATTCGGGTGCTAGGTTGCTCCAATTCCCATCTAGTTTCCTGCTAATATGCCTGGGAAAGCAGCAGATGTCGCCAGCACCCATACAGGAAACCCAGAATTCTCTGGCTTCAGCCGGGACCAGTGCTGATTGTTGGAGCCATTTGGGCAGTGAACCAGTGGATCAAAGATCTCTCTTTCTTTTAAATGAGTCACAAAAAAAAAAGTAACCAAAGTCAGACTAGCAACAAAGATATGTTTAAATCAGGCTTACTTGACTCTGGGATCCAGCTACTGTATTTTCTATCATATTCTGTCACATATGGTAATGCTAGTTACTTTGCCTAATGAGCTTTTACATCACAAAAACATGAGCTTTATGCTGCATTATTTCAAGTTTTGAATCTAAATCAGCATGATTTTACTTGGCACATTTTTTCACTGCTATTCTTGGACATACATTTGGTCAACAGAGATATTTGGTTATGAGGTCCGTTAAAATGACTATGTTTAAATTGAAGAGATGATTACAAATGGAGTGTCATGTTTGAATGCTGAATATTTACCCCATCCCTCTAGAAGTTTTTTAATATATGAAATACATTGTTGTATCCTTAATCAATAAACATCCATATTGATTATCTGGATAATAAAGGGGAAAAAATGAAGTACTCTAACTGGGTTCATTTGAATTTTGACCCTGAACCAAAGTTCAACTAGACTGCTGGCAGAATCACATTTTGGGTATAAGCATTTGCCAGAATTTTTATGACATGTGAACTATGACTTTATATATGTCTACATATAATAAACCAGACAAGCATAGAATGTAAAAAAAAAAAACTTGTTTTTCAAACAATTAAGAGCTATCTGAAAGTCCACAGGTTTTCGTAAGTACTCCATGAGAACTGGAATTAAAGACTTAAGTGACTTCGTTAAATCCACACAACACAATGGTGATGAAAGCGGGAAATATCTAGGCCCTTAGTTCCATTTTCCTTGTGGGAAGTAATTAACTGCAGAAACTCAGTGTTATTAAGGGTAATGTGAAAAGGAATTTTAAATTCCAGTAACACCACAACAAAACGGTAAGCAACCCATTCTCTACTTTCTAAGGTGGTGAGCCTCCAAAAACTGCAATGAATCCATCTCCTACTATCACCAGCTTCATTTAGTCAAAATAAATGAATCTGGTTTGAAAATTGTTTCCTAACGAATGTGATCTTATCTTACTTTCAGTTAAGCAGCAGGAACCCGAATACCACTTCAAAGGTTCTACCTCCATCACACTCTGAACAAGCTGGTGGTGTCAATGGCACAGGAAACCTCTCGAGATTGACTCATCTAATAGTAACAATTTCCTTCCCCCACCCCAAAAAATCCCTTAAATTTCTGAATGAGCAAAAGTATTTTCTTCTTCAATCAAAATATCAGTTCATGTCTTTCATTTCAATTTGCTGAAGTACCCCACCCAGGATTCCCTGATAGTCAACTCTCAGCATAATACGGCATGGAGAGAAGAGCTCTGAAAGAGTACAGGGTGTGTTCCCAGCGTAATGGCATTAAGATCAC